TTAATGAATGGTCCCTTAGTATCCATGTTTCTCGTTTTCCACTTTCTCTGTCAACTTATCGCGTAACAAAAAAAGTGGAAATGAAAAGCGAAAATACTGAAGCTAAACTATTGCGTTTCTTTATGTTACATCGAAAATCGTTTCATCGCGATTTCTTTCCTTTTTTGTTTTGATTTTGTTCTTTCCTTTGATCAAAGGGGCAAAGCTTTTTGTAATCTCATTCAGTCATTGCCTGTTTTCCAGCAAGTTCCCCCAAATTCGCATTAAAACCTTAATCCTAACGATTTCTTTTGAACATTGAAGTCAAGATAAAACGGTTTCTGCTGTAAAGTTCTTGTGAATATTTTTGGATAGAACATCTCGATGTAAATGTTTGTAAATCCGGCGCGACTTTATAATTTTTTTTTCCCGAACGTCGCAATTCAATACAACTAGAGCTATAGTGAAGTTTGTGGGAACTTGACGTGTGACGTCATCGTGGTAACGAGTTCAATATGTGTTTAGTATTGAGTGTTTTCTGTGAAGAAAAACTTGTATCAAATAAACCATTTAAAAGACATTTGACGTTTTTTATCACTGTTGGCTTAGGAGATTTAACTTCAAAGAAAGAAAAGATTTCGTGTTCACCGACTTACTACCAGCATGACGTCATTTCTCGGTGCCAGGCTACTCGACTAGGGAGAACAAACTGTCCTTACATCAAACCGTTAGGTCCTCGATAAAAATAGAAAGCCGCGCCGGATTCAATACTAAAGATAGATTATTTTTTGTTAACAATTCCCAAGCACTTTAAGTTTATTCCTATATAACTTCAGAGCTTTAAACTCGGTGCTCGAATTGAAGGCTGTGCGGATATTTTAGCGACGGCCAAAGAGCTGGGACTAAATGTTGTTGGAGTAAGGTACGTAGTCATAGCCTTGACATTCCCCTGGACCTACTTTATAGAGAGCTATGATATCTTGAAATGTAACGCAATGCGCAATGGTAGACACAGCGAATACTTGTCTAAGCGTGTGAACAATGGTCGTACACTCACCGTCCGTTTTGCTTCGATGCAAAGACACGGTGACTAGTTTCCTGCACCAACTTTATAGAGATGCCCTTGCATCGAAGAGCCAAAACAAACGTTGCTTTTACTTCGATAGATATCTGAATTACTCTCATTTAAAAACAAAATAATCAATGGTGCGCATACGCATGCGGTGGTTTGCAATTCTTCAAATTCTTTTGTTATTTGTTTCAGTTTTCACGTCGGCAGTGACTGCTTCAATGAGATGTGCTTTAAAGATTGTATATACATTTCAAGACAGATATTTGATCAGGCGGTATGTAACAAGAAAATATGTTCTTTCTTTATTAATAAGGTTTTGATTTTCCTTATTTATTCGCCAGACAAACCTAGGATTTTCGTTTAGTRTTCTKGACATCGGTGGAGGATTTCCTGGMAAAGGCACGAATGAAGAGTTACTCTTAAAGGTTTGATATAATGATTAATGCCTTTTTTAAGCAATAAAAAAGATGGATTGCCGTGCGTTCATGAAATGTATACAAGACGAGAGAGCGTGTTGTATGTATAGTGTAAAACACGAGAGAGAGTGTTTTATCAGGTATCATAAAGGAAAGCGCTATTGTTCGGACGAGTGTTCCACAAAGTATTCAACAAAATGGACCGCAACCTTATTTTGCGACTGGCAAAAAGACCGTGCGAACAAGAAAGCCATTAATGGGAGCACCAGTTTCATTTTCAAAATCAGCGAGTCATTCCAGGATGCTGACGCTGGTCTTGATGACATGAACGCCGAGTCGTTGATTCTTTTGGATGGTCAAATTCATACAAGACGAGGCGCGAAGAAAAACAGCGAAGCTTATCCGACAATCGAGTAAATCGTGAGGAAACGAAACGGCATTGCTACAATTATTGATTTTTCAGTGTGTTTTAATTAAGGAATAAAAGACGAAATTCCGTGTTTGATACTCTGATCAAAACACGCGGGATGTAGGGAGAGCACGAGAGAAGCGTAGGAAACCACCGAGAGAAGCGTAGGAAACCATTATCATCCCAGAGGACATCATAATTAGGCATTTCTTCGTTCATTGTTCTTGAAAATGAATGATAACAACAACAAATGCAAACGGGGGGAAAAAAGAGCGTGCGTGTTTTGATACTGTAATCAAACATGGTTTTCGACCAATCACAGCGCGCGTAGTATCCTAAATATCTTAGAATTTTGTTTGATTGCACGCGAGTTTAGACATTTTGAATATTTTCAGGGGAGTGCGGGGCTGGGTGATTATTATTCAACGTTTTTCTGATACAGACCTAATGTTTTATTRATTAGGTCTGTATCAGGAAAACGTTGAATGATAATCAGCCCCGCACTCCCCTGAAAATATTCAAAGCCGCCCACAACTTTGAGGTTTCTGCACCTTTTACCCAATATAAAGGTATAATCACGTGATTAGATTCTCAGTATATCATTGGCTAATGACATTATGAATTATTAAGAGCCACTTCGCGCAAAAATCAGACATATCTTGGCAAGGCTCGAAAAATCAAATCTATTCATATTTTGTATATTGATAAGGTATGATTAGGTAACAATCGCTGTGTAATTGGTTTTTGAAAATATTTCATTTTTCKCAAGAAAATCGCTAAACAATGTCACATACTGGACCTTTGCGTGACAAATGTTTGATGGCTAAAAATAGCACTCGAAATAGATTATTGTTTGCAATGAAATTCGGCGTGATAACTAAGCAAGGCATGAGCTTTACAAAGAAATAATAATAAGTCTGGGCAAATCACTTTCAGGTGCGTAGGAATGACTTATTCCAGTCACAATTATCAGCGTAAACACATATTTTGTCACTTGTATTAACCCAACAATTTTCAAAGCATATAAACATCTAATCAACATTATAAAACTTATTAATAATGCATGAGCTATTACTCCAATAAGGGTTGTCCATTTCATCAGGTGATTGACCTTGTAAATCAGATACAACACTGTGATACAACACTAGTGTTGTATAAGATTTACAACACGGTCGTCACCTTGAGACAACCCAACACTAGCAAAGGTCTCAGTTTTAGTGTCGCATCATAGACCTTCACTAGGTTTTGAAGCAATCAAAGACGGATAACAGAACTGGCTTATGCAACAGATGGCTTGCTTTCCATGTGGGATGGATAATTATTCAAAATGTTCTGTGTTGCAGTAAATTGCGCATGCTTAATAG